AGTTTATTTGTTATGATAAACAGCTCCGTTAACAAAAGCCAAAAATTTTATTTTTCACCTTCGTTTGATACACACTGTGCAATCGGCAACAGTATCGAAAATATCAGCAAAAAACTTATGTGTAGAATCTTCATGATACTTCTTTCTAATCGCCGATGTCTAACCCCTTCAGCTTCGTGCACACATTGCAGTGCTTGTAGAAATAATGATAATTTTTTGTAACTGCATATTCTTTTATTTACTTCAGATTATCTTAAATATCTCCATCGTAGATGTTTATTTATCGTTTCTAGTATAAAGTTAGTTGCTTGTCGATAATACTACGTTGAGTCATATTTGGAGAGATAAACTAAGACATTTAGTCACAAAATTTTCCAATGTATCGGATTTGAATACAAAGCATCAATATGCAAATCTTTAGTCACTCCTTTCCTATATTACACATCAATCATTTGAAGAAACAATGGCGACATGACTGAGTATATCCGACCCTATGTCCGAATTCTGACCGCCTGTTAATGTCCCGGCTATTATTCGTAATTTCCACTTCCTGAAAGTCGAGAGGATACGTAAAGCGTCTTTTGGTTTTGAATTTTCCTTGCATGGTTGTGTGGTAGTTTTGTAGTAAATGCATAACATATGCCTTGAATGAATATGATTTTGAACATAGATAGAATTGAAATCCGCTATCCCGTTACAAATAAAGCGAAAAGTTGTTAGTGCTTTAAATGTTACCTTCTTCTCAAATACTTTGTTTATAAACTATTGGTATCATTTAAGGGTAAATAGCACTTATGCATTCGTTTCATACATAAAATATGAATATATTTAACATTTACTAACGTGAAATTCAATATATCATTCTAATGTTATTTCAAGTATAAAAAGCAGAATGCATATGCAATATTGAAACGATTCGACCAAAAGTGTAACGAATTTGTGTGTTAATATTAGGCTTTTTCAAAACATCGCTTCAAACGAGTACTTTCAGTTACGATTAGTTAATTCATTACAGTTAGAATAAAAATGATTTATGTGATCATATTCAACGCGTAATATATAAGAATGTAAATATCTTGTAATGAAAAAACATTTTATTTCACACAACATATGTGAATATATATATATACCGAGAAGCCATCAAACCAGCGTAGTAGCCATCCAGCTTGTCAAACTAACTAATCTTAATATATTATACTAGGTAGCCTACATTCGTCTGCCTGATGACTGAGATCGTAGGATGGAACCAAGCCATAGGCTACTTGCCAAAATACAACTACAAAATCATTATCATTATTAGACCAGAGGTGTGCAACAGGCGACCCGCGGGCCACAATCCGGCCCGCCATGCCATTTAGTTTGGTCCTTGTCAAAACTTAGGTTGTTCCCCATCAAGCATAAATCTTAATCCCAGATTTTATGTTTGTAAAGGCGCTCAAATGGGTAAAATACATAATGATTTTTGCTGTTGTCGCTGCGTTAAATATTTCGCCGTTTTGCTTGGTGCCTTCATTACTGGATAGGGAAAGCGATAGTCGCATTCTCTTGCCTTGCCAGCAACGCTCTGATTGTCACAAATTTTAATTCGTTATGTACATGGAAAAACTATTATTTCGTTTGGCCTAGCTAGATGTCTCAAGTTTTTTAGATGACACAAAATGTTGCACACTCGTGGTCTAGACCAGTGGTTCCCAAAGTGGGCGATATCGCCCCCCAGTGGGCGAAAACGATACAGAGGGGGGCGAAAAAGTCTTAGGGGGCGATAGGGGGGCGATTTTGCGAAACCTGTTTTATGTTCGGCGCACTTAATTCTGTACTCTCTGTGCATTCGCAGGCTTGAATCACGTGGGCGATTATCACAAGCGAAAGGATTTCTGGTCTCGTCTTCGCAGTAAGGCAAGGTAGTTTGCGTATCCCAGTGGTCGGCAAAATACGGCCGGAATAAGATAATCTGGCCCGGGACGATTCACTGAATGGTCCTTTCCCCGACCTTTGACCGCGGAAAATTCTTCCCATACTTTACCATTTTAAAATTTTCGGTGCTTATTTTAAGAGTGGTTTCGCGAGTTGTTGCCTGTGAAATGGGGTATTTGTTTCATCATTCTAATACACACCATTCAACAATCTGTTTTTTAAAAGTACCGATAAAGAATTTTAGCCTAGTCTATCACAGCCATTTCTACACTAATTTGTGATTGCTGTATTTAAACTGAAACTCATAGAAAGACAAAGTAATCATTGACTTATTTGATTTATATTCAAATTTCCGAAAAACAACCAAAAACTAACGAATATAATTCAAAAACGCGAAAATGAGGTGTAATGTTCACGACCACGCCTGAAAATCTGTCTGAGTGAAAGTGTCTGAGCGGATGCGAAAGGGGGCATTGTTACGTTTCTTGCATCTTGCTGATTGGCCAATGTCAGAAGTAAACAAAGAAGTCTATGCCCGGGGAAATATCCAAACGGCGGTTTTGACGATGAATTTTTTTTTATTTATAATCTACGCTCGAGGAGTAAATTACATTTTTTTACGTAACATAATTTATCGCGAGACACGTTTATACTGAATTATACTATATCCTAACAATTTAGTGAACAGCCACTCGTTTAACGAGCCTACAATTTAATTATAATTAGACAAATGGAAACACGCAGAAAAGTTGATGCTGAGTGCAGGGGTTCAATAGCGCAGTAAATATTCGAATATATTGCAAAGCAATAAGGAAATAAAATTCATATTCTATTCGAGAGATTGATCACTGCATAATTTTTGTAAGAATGTATCTTCTTAAAGAAAATGTTTACCAAATTTTCACAAATCATGCGGAAATATTCACTTCGATGTTTGGACGTACGTATTTGTGCAAACCATTATTTTCGAAAATGAACATTACAAAGAACAAGCAAAAAAGTGGGTTTGGTGGTGCCCATTTAGAAAATGTTTCAATCTTGGCGTCGTAAAGCTATCCAGCGTGATGCAGCAACAAGACAGTGTCACATTAAATGTCATTGTAATATTTTTTTAATAAGACGACTGAGTTGAGTTCACGAATTGTCGCAGTTTTTGCGCGCTGTTCCGTTTTTAACTTTCGAAAAATATATGCGACCCGCAAAATACTAGCAACCCTGAATTTGTCCTGCGAGCGACATAAAATTTGCCGACCCCTGGGCCGTAGCCGATAGTCAGTCACGTCTTTTTCCACATCCGAGTCTATGAATCCAAAAACAAATGGCTGGTTAATTATGGACTGGTGATCGGACTGGAGGCCGTGATAGGATGAGGAATCGGGGATGAATTTTTCCGAAGTTTTTTTGGTGCAGGTCATCAGGCTGTACTGTACGGATGAATGAGATGTACGAAAATCATTATTATAAGTTTGGGAAAATTAACTTTCGTTTTATTATTTTAATGTGAAATGGGGTGGATTTAGGAAGTGAAATGCTATAAGGCAAGAGTACACGGCGGCGATTTTTGAGGAGGTAGAACCCTGGATTCTTTCATTTCCGACCTATTATATGGTAAAAAGGGGAGTTTTCAGCCGTGCTACTATTGCTATTAAAACAACGAAATCACCTTTTCATCAGTAAACGGGGTAATTTTAGATATAATAAAAAAAAACTCGCTGAAGAACACCAAGCTCATCTATCTCATCAAAAAACACTATAAACTATGATTTGTCTTCTTATTTGGTCTGTAATATATTCGTTTCTGACTTTATATTTTTTTGTAGTACAGGGGGGCGATGAAGTTGTATAAACTACTTTAGGGGGGCGATGGTCAAAAAAGTTTGGGAAGCACTGGTCTAGACTAGATCGTTTGATATTCTAGTTGAAGTTTGAATAACCAACAACATAAGCTCAAACCATTGCTCAAAACGTCTGGCATCTGCATGTTGCTTCACCTCCTGAACCCCCGGCTCTTCTCGCATCTCAGAAGGATCTCGATCAAGTGCAATCCATCACTGATCTTGTCGGGTGTTGTTAGGTTTTCTGTGTATTACGATTTTCCGCGTGTCCTGCCAATTGTTTTTCTATTACCTACTCTTTCGATTGAGTGTGATAATCGCTTTAATTGGTTCCGCGAAACGCAAAATGAGCACGGAGTTATCCCATCGCACGTTTGCCTTGGACCAAGGGTAGTCGAAAGTTGCGTTTTGTGCTGATTTCATTATTGTTGATATATACATGATACGTTGCCTTGAGTTTCTTTGTGATAATTTGAGATTAGGCGCGGTCGGAGATTTTTGACGTCTGATGTAATCGTAGCTGATAGTTGGATGGATTGCTATAGCCATTGCCTGGTTTTCATGTTTCAGTCATGACAAGTATGATTAACATTGCTGTATACACGACGACTGGCCTGTCTCGTCATTCCCGAACACGAAATGGACCTATGGATTGCCGGGTTAAATTGTTGTTGCTGCTGTTGTTGTTGTTTTAATACTCTTGTTGTTGTAGTTGTCGTAAAAAAACTCACTTTTTTCAACTACTCATCAGGTTGCTTTGTAAAAATTGTACACCGTGTGGCGGTTCGTTCCGTGATTTTTTGATGTGAAAGATTACCGGTACTGTAGAAGATTTGATATTACTTCGTTCTTGCCTTCGTGTCCATATACCATGAGTTTTATATACATTTTTGTACTTTTAACTCTATCACCAATGCGCACTTTTTGTTTTCAGAATTTTCATAACAAAATTTAAGTGTATTTATCACCATTTTCATTTGCGTTTTAAACAGTTTTAGCTACTGGAAGAACAAGTCTTTACGTAAATCATTCCGCCTGGCTCCAGTACACATCTTGTGTAGCTACTCTAAAATAGCTGTAGTTGTGAAACCCAATGCCTAAAGACCGCCCAATAGTACAGCTCATAACGTGGCTTGCGGAGGAAGGTGGGTGCATTCATATTATTGAATTCAGATAAGACAATATTTTTTAGTCAATAGAGTCAACACTAGAGTATACATTAGTCAATATTTATTTACATAATATAAAAGTTGAAAATATATACAATTCCTTCCACTTGCACTACAAGACTGAGAAACGATGCGATTGATTGAAATAAATTTATATAATGACCACAAAAACAATTTACAAAATGGTTTTCGTAAAAATGTCGAAAAAAGTGAGTATCCGCTACGTATGTTTAGAAATTATTTAGAAATTATACATCGGTAAGTCAAATTTACTACCAAACGATATTAACCAGGCAAACCACGCAGTCCTGCTGCGCACTAACGCATTTGGTGTTTTTATTCCTTCGACATCACTTATTTCAAGTTTTTTTATACGCAGTTGAAGTCTTTCATCAAGTAGGCTACAATATGACATAAAAAGTTACTAGCAGTTTGAAAAAGATGGATAAAGAAATTCCTGTGTGTTATATAGTTTAAACAATTCAGTTGTGTTGGAAATCATGGGCTAAGTTTTGACACAGTTGCGTGAAGCAGTGTTCATGAGAATATATCCTTGGTTCCGCATGTGTGTTCGTTTGAACGACAAATTCGACAGAATACTGTAAAGGAAAATAAAGTTTGAAAATTTCATGATATTACTAAAATATAATTATTATAAATTCTAGTTTTAATCGGCTATTTGTAGCATCACAATTTCTAAAATATTTTAGTTAAATAGAAAAAGTGAAAATGTTTAGAAGTTGTTTTATTTTAGTTCAGATATGTTGTTGAAAGATTATTAATATTATTTTGACAAGCGTGCAAAATATATCGGATGATCTCTTAATTAATTCAGCATTGACGTAAAATAATATGTAAATGACAGTTAGGGGACAGCCATTTTTTAGAAAATTTTCTACCCAGACCAAAATTCTTGCTAACCAAATTTAAATGATATATGGATGTAATCAATTATATACCAAGATCAATCAAATTGAAGAATATCACGCTCTTCGCTAGAAAGTGTTTTGAAAACTAATTCAAAGTCGGGTACACTCATTTAAATTCCCTTTATAACAACTCATAATGATAAGTCGTGAAACATTTTCATTACCTCTACTTCTTGGTCCTCTCTTGTCGCACGTTCTTCCAGCTAAACTTCCATCGTGATTCCTTTTGCAGAACTTCCGGCAATCTATTGTTGTTTTCCCCCGAGCTCGGATAAAGAAATTCTTGCGGCGAAAATGCGTTCTCTTCCCGAATAACGATTGTCCCAATCTTCCTTTAGCGACGAGATGCGGTTTCCCGTCTAGATATTCATTATATATGAAGAAAATATGAAAATGCACAATAAGTGATGTTAAATAGTATAAAAAAATAGAGATTTTTCCGGAATCACACTTCGCCATTTTGCATTTTCATATAAATTTGAATAAGTATTCAACGAAAAGTAGTATTTATATGTTGTTAGTATTGTTACGTTCACAATTCGTTTGTTAAATCCTAACTTCGTTTGAAATACCGAAACAAAAGTTCACAAAAAACTTAATATGTGTTTGAAATAGCTAATGCTATTTTTTCTCCGATTCACACAATCCAGAATTTGCAATTCATCTAGATAAAAATCCAAATGAAATTGTAGGATTTTATTAAAGATTTATTTTTCTGATTTATTAAATATTCAGACATATTTTTTATTAATGATGTTAAACCTTCGAAAAAATGGAATGCTCAAATAATTGTAAATAAGGAATTTCAAATTGAACGCGGTTAACGCAGGTTTAGTTAACTAACATCTGTGTTTGAACAAAAAATTACTCGCATTCCCGTTATTAATTTACGAGATATAACGTGAATCAATTCGTCATCCCACCCACAACTTACAACCATAAGACCAAGATGTCCTCTGTTGTAGTATAAAGATAGATAAACGATATACTTTTGGTACATTTTCGGTTTATCAAATATAATAAAATAATGAATACAGTCAAACATTTTTTTACTACTTTATTACTCTATTTGTAGTCGTGTAACCCACTTACATTTTGCGCTCTCTGAGCAAGTAATCCACAGGCTTATAAGTACGAAAACGGCGAATAGGCAGATTTTCATTTTTGTTGCAAGCTCCGTATCTAACTTACAAAATTCTAGTGTAAGACTGCAAAAATATATATAGTGTGGTTATGAGTATATATAACATATATTCGGGTGCTGACGTAGACTCGAAGAGCTAGGAACTTCGTTGCTTGACATGGATAACCTAGTCAGTTATTTTTATCCCCATAAAAAAATAATTTTTTTAATACGATCACAATCACATGCCTAGCCCTTTAATAGACTCGAATCTTTAGGTAAAACGAATCCTGATGAGCATTTAGGTAGCAACAAGCCAAAATCGGAAAAAAAACTATATACATGTTCGTTGTATGTGGTACCCAGATAACTTAATAATAAATCAAAGTTCAGCAGATTTTTTATAAAATCTGTATCTTGTCATTGTCATTCCTATGAAAAAAATTCAATTATAAACCTAAACAAATTAGGTTATATTTAATAATTTGAATCTCTTTTTTTTCCAATGATCAAATCTTGAAGATTTTAATCATGCTTGTTCAATAGAATATACATTTCAATATATTATTCATCATCGAATTTAAAAAGGGAAGCATTCATACTTAATTATAATAAGTTAGACAATTTAATTATCATAAAACCGTAAGTAATTTGCTGTCAATTACTGTATAAGAGAGAATACGCACTGACATTTACCACACTGATATTTAATTTTCACTAATTTTGAATTTTACCTCATAACTTTTACAATGTAAGATTCACTAAAAATCAACAATGTAGAAAAAGGATGCAAAAATTCATTATATTTTTGACAAATATTTTTTTTAATGGCAAATAAATCGGGGCTCCCGAAGTATGCGAACCAAGATGGCGGACATCGGAATGTAATATGTGTACTAGGTTAAGGTTAGGCCATAATTTTAGGTATAAATACTACGGGAGGCTTTTGGCTAGTCTTCGAACTGATAATAGGACTAAAATAAGGAAAATTGGAAAAAATTATCGCCTAACCCTAACCTGTTACCCATGTTACGTTCCGTTGTCCGCCATCTTGGTTCGCATACTTCGGGAGCACCAATAAATCTTCGAGTAAGTACTAGGAGTCACAACTTCACTGCAACCTGTAATATAGTCTCTCAACTAAACCTCCAATCCGCAATAGAAGACAAATAACTCTTCAGTACCTTCGCCTTTTATTGTCTTAAAAGCCTTGAGTATAATGAACTAAACCTCAAAACAAACTCATATTTTAAATCAAACAAAATATTACATCGATACAAGCAAATTGGTTTATACTCGGCCCGGGATTAAAACAATGAAAATCACATATTTTTCTTCAAATGATTTTATTTGAAATATTTTTATATCATGTGAATAGAATAGTTTTTTTTACACCGTTTATGAACGGTTCACGTATGATATTTGATTTTTTGTCGCTTTCCTATATTCCCCTCAAGTAGTAGCGCCATCAAAATTATTCTCATTAGGCAAGGAGTTGGAATAACGTTAATATTTAACTACTCTTGAAAGGTTTGTAAATTTGTTCAATCGCCACAACAAATTTGCGCACGGTAGTCAGTTTTTTCCCTCGAGTATATATAAATCGAATTGTAGTTCTGGAAGTGCCGAATTCACTCCATGACAACAAAATAACCCTAAACTCACAACTAGTCTTGGAAAAAACACAAAATAGCTATGTAATTGTTACTTGCCTAGTTAGGTATTCGAGCAGGGCACTTGTTGGCAATATCTGGAATGACTGCTGAAGAAATAACAATAATCAACATCCACAATTTTATCTTGAAGCAAACAATGTAAAAACCTATGAACAATATTTATCAAGCTAATCTTTTCCCTTCTTTTAGATTTCGCAAAAATCGTGCGCTGCACATAGCTTGGCCCGATAACGATCCAAAAATACAACTGTATTTGATTCAGTTTATCACCGTGCCGGAAACTTAAGAATTTTTGTAACCGTTTCCTACGTTCAAGACTATCAAATTGTAATTTTTTTATTCAAACCTTTACTTAAAACGAACAATATTCTGGTTCTGATTAGATTCTGTCCATTATTACACGTATATACGTAAACGGCGGGATTATGGAAGGATTATACGTACTATTCAGCGAAGTACGACATGCTAAATATGACTTTACAAGTATTCCTTATATTTGCTGAAAATTGCTGTTGAATATTCGGACCATTTGTCTTGGATAAACGATTATAATTTAGACTTATAATTTAGTCTTGAAAATTTACCTTTTACTAGCAGTTTAATTCCGAGTTCAGATATTCTCCGCCGGGTAACGAATTGCTGGCAGTTACAAAAATATCAACCATGCAGTTGCGATACAGCTGAAAAATAATGGTGGCAAAGCGGGCAATACCTCCCAAATTGGAGACAAAATGGCAACCCAATATTTCCCATCGCTCACGCCTCACAAACATATTTGAGATTGCACAAATACGATCCCCAGCGATCAATATATACTCAAAACGGGTACTTTTTATGGGGAGACTGGAAATATTTTTTTCTTTTAGCGGAAGTGGTTTGTACACTAGCACACATCATTAAACTATAATGGTGGATAAAAATGAAACTGTCTATAATAAATTTTAATTTAAAAAAAAAAACTTATATTATTCACTTTTCCTTAGGAGTTATTTTACCTTAATGTCGGGCCGGATGAAATTCCCAGTCAAGTAATTTGAGATCCGATTTGTCTTTGTTGACTAATATGTCAATTTTTTTTATTTGGGCAAGCTAAAAATTGGGAAAATAAAATTAATTCTGTTACTGAATATCGAGGGATATAACTTCATGCAACTATTGCACATCTCACAACTAAAACACCTAGAAAATCAGAGGTGGAATCCTAACGTTCTAATCATAATTTGACAAAACCCAAACACGTCCTAATGATGAAATGTTACGCAGATGTTATAGACATAACTATTGCGTCAAATACTTGTTTTAAACGATGAAAATAAATAACACAAGTTCATCGATATTTCTTTTTATACAAAGACTCGGACTTTTCACGTTTTACGTTGAGCAATTCAACGAAATATATATAAGGCAACGATTCTTAACATAGTCACCGATATTCTTCGTGGTACATTTTTTGCCATAGTTTTCCCGGAATTTTACATTCGCTCAACAGGGATTAGTGCTGACTTGTAGGTGAAATCCCCGATACTTTATGAGACTCTTCTGTTACCATTGGTTCTTAAATATTTAGTTATGCAATTTAATTTGTTATATTGTAATATTGTTAAAGTTTCGAACATCAAATTATTGGATTATGTTGCTAGATATTAGGGTCAAAAGTCAGCCAATCTGCTTTAAAAACTTACATTTATTTTTTGCGATGCGCATATTCAAATATTTTTGGGGAAGTTTTTATGAAGACGGTCAAATATTTGGGACTCAACGAATAAAATTTGAATATAATTTTTTGGGGGAAATAGAACACTTTCTTTTCATCTCATATGTATATATCTGATATTCTCCTTTACGATAAAGTCAAAACGAAAGTCAGTTTTGAGCACCAAACCAGACTGAGTACACATATTTGACAAATCTCTCTCTGATAATCTTCGTGACACTGAATATACTTATTCACGGAATAACATCCCGGTACTCACATTCAAATCTATTTCTTATATTGGATTCATTACATTCATTTAATCTATCGGTTTCGCAATCTTTTTTACCTGCTATTCATCATACCGTGAAGTCTGCTAAATCCCGGGATTTGTTAGTAAATTATCTTAATATCTTCTACTACGCCGACAAATGTTAACACTGATACAATGAAATTCATAGCGTTATAGCGTCAAATATGCGACTGATTTTTATAAGGTCACCCTATGGAGAAATCAAGCAACAATCATTCATGTATTTGTAAATTCTATTGTCTGTAAAGTGAGATACATATTTGAATACTAGTTGTTCAAATGAAATTGAAACTAAATAACCCAAAGAATATTCAAAAAATGAAAACAAATTCTTTAATTCCTGTTACAAAAATATTTTGCCAAAAATGTATATTCCGTTTGGGCGAGAATATTTTCTAATTAATTTACATTTAGGATTTATTCGAATTTTAACGTTCGTATTATTCTTATTCCAACATTAAGCATCCAAAATATGAATCCTTTTTCCAAATTTACCCAAGTTTGTAAATCAGAAGATGATAATTGAGTATCCGTATTCACAAATCTTTATACACTTGCGATTGATACAGTTGTATATAAATACCTCGTATTTATTTGATTTACCTCGCTAGAGATTTCTCTGTTCTTTCAAAACATACTAAGTAACAGCATATTTAAAGTAAAATACTGAAAATTGTTTTCATACAATTACTGACAAAACCATAATCTTCTCCAGAGTTGAGACTGGTAAGATTCTTTTAACCCGAAACATAGATAATAAACTTGCCAAAGATAAATTTCAAGCATTTGAAAATACTACCAATTCATTAACGCGACAACAATATTCGTATAGAGTAGACTGTGACTCCTTATGTTTGCAAACACGGTATAATAGTCATTCACTTAAATTAACGTGATTAGTATCCGTCACGCTTAGAATAGAATGACCTGGTATAAGTTAAAAGCAATTGGTTGGTGTATTAGAATAATTTATGTAAAATTTTTGACAGAAATATTCAAAGTTATTTTTTCAAATTAAAAAAACAGTACCAATATCATGAATACAATACAGCTAATATTTGAAATTCAGCACTTGCTAATATGTACCGGACAATTAATGTTTTTGAGTTCGTATTTTATACATCAAAAAAGCGTGTCTCAAATGTACTATGAAAAATTAGACATAAGTAACTTTTAAACATCTAATTAATTCGAACTCCCATAAATCATGTTTAATTTTAACTACATATAGACATATCTAGTTTGATCAGATTGGATAGATATTAAATCTTATAGATTATTAATTAAAATTTTTAATAACCACATTAAATAACGGGATATGAATCTTAAAAATTATTGAAAAAAATTATTATTTGAGTATCTTATTGTACTATATGTAAATTTCCAAACATAACAAAAC